TATCAGAAAAGAATAAAGACAGGTGTGCTGTTTTGAATGTAAAATGTTTCATTGGAAACATCAGAGTCCCTCTTTTTTAAACAAATGCTGACTATCTCTACTTAGAGACAATAAGAACTGCAGTAAGAACTCTATATTTCCTGTGTTTTCGGTCTTTGTCATGATATAACAATACCTCACTTCAAAGCTTTTAATGAACAGGAAAATCAAGACTGTTGCTATCACCCTCAGTGCATGCAAGGTCTACTGGAAAGCTTTTTACAAAAGTGGCATGCTGTAAAGTTGGCTTGACAAGTTTAACTAGTTAAGTGAATTTGTCGCTCTCTGAGGAAACTAAAGAATCAACATTACAGATGCATCATGATTAGTTGCTTATTTCTTGTAGCTAAACGGTATTGAAGTTGGAAATTTCCCATTTCAAAAGTGTGTCTTACTTGACAGTTGATAAAAATGGAAAAATGAAACCTTGCAATTGTTGTGAGTGGAGTAGAACAAAGGGGACCACAATAATTGCTCTCAAGCTCATTGTCAATATTGCCAACCCTCTCTGACATTCACCCATGCATTTGGGTATAAGCCTTTGGATTGCACTAAGCAACAGCACTCCTAGATGATTGCTTGTCCCAGCCTTCTCATTGCAGATATTAGTCACTTTAAAAAAAATGTGACTGAACTCTGTCAGTGTAGCTTAGTGCATTTTGAATTGTTAGTTAATATTTATATCACTGACTACAGCAACAAAATTTTATTCACAAACAGCACCTACTGGGCTGGCTCTTACACAACTCTGGGTGAAATTGTAACTGATATGGTGTTAGTTCTGAGGAAGTGTGGCAGAAAGCTCTTGGAAAGGATTTCTTAGAGATTACTGGTGTCATTTGAAAAGTTTTCATATCAAAGTTGATAATGCATGCACCAGTAAATTGTGAGATATTCAGACAGTCATGAAGTTGTCCATGGCTTAAAGTAGCCCTTCCTTTAACAAATAGTAATCAGTTTGTTCTTTCTGTGAATCCATTGCCCAGTATACATTGAGCAACCTTCTATTGATGGAACACCTTCCTGTGCTGCGATAACATAGATTATCCATTTTACGAGTTGAGTGACTCAGCGTACCTTGTGAGGAGTTCCTAACATTTTTTGTCTACCAGACAAAACAATTATTTTCTCACCAACTGATGACTGTCGTTTTTGATCGGACAAGGTCAGAAATCACATGACACCAAGTTATAGTCCAACAGGTTTATTTGAAAAGACCAGCTTTCGGAGCATAGCCCCTTTGTCAGATGAAGTGAGAAAGAAGCACACAGAACACAGAATGTATAAGTAAAAGATCAAAGGGTCACACAACTGATGAGGATGTATTAAATAAACCTGGGATGCTGTTAAATCTTTAATCAGTTAGAAAGTTTTAATTGATTACTTTGTATATGTAAATCCCCGAATTTCTTTCAAGTCACTCCCGTGAGAGAACTAAAGGTTTTATCAGTGTAAAGAAAAGGTGACATTTTAGGACAGACAATGCATGTTAGGTGTGAGGCCTTGTTTAGAATCTGTTTGTGTTTTGGCTTGGAGTCAGACTGGTTTTATTTCTAAAGCAGGAACTGATAAAACTCCACACTGGCTGACTGTTTGTAAATTATTTGCTTTTTGAACAAAATGGAATGTATCTGCAAATACAAATTCACCGCATAGATGTATATGTATGTTTGCTTTTGTGTGTGTGTGTGTGTGTGTGTGTGTGTGTGTGTGTGTGTGTATGTGTTTGTGTGTGTGTGTGAGAAAGAAAAAAAGAGTGTGTGTGTGTGGGAGAAGAGAGAGAGAGAGAGCGAGTGAGAGAGTGTCCTGTGTGTGTGAGAGAGAAAGAGGGGAGAGAGACTGTGTGTGCATGTGTGTGTCTCGAGGGGAGAGAGAGGGGGAAAGAGTGCATGTGTGTGGGAGAGAGGTTGTGTGTGTGTGTGTGAAAGTGTGTGTATGAGAGAGGATCTGTGAGAGAGCTTGTGTGTGTGTGTGTGTGTGTGTGTGTGTGTGTGTGTGTGTGTGTGTGTGTGTGTTTGTGTGTGTGTTTGCGTGAGAGTTTGTGTATGTATATATGCATCTGTATGAGTGTGTTTGAGAATGTATAGTGAGGTGAAATCACCTGTGGTGCAACATGAACCCAAGATCCCGGTTGAGGCCGTCCTCATGGGTACCGAACTTGGCTATCAGTCTCTGCTTGGCGACTCTGCGTTGTTGTGTATCCTGAAGTCCACCTTGGAGGATGTTTATCCAAAGATCCGAGGCCGAATGTCCTTGACCGCTGAAGTGTTCCCCCACTGAGAAGGAATGTCCCTGTGTGGCAATAGTTGCGTGGTGACCATTCATCCGTTGTTGTAGCATCTGCATGTTTTCACCAATATAGCATGATCGGAGAAGTGACATTTCTTGAATTAAGTGCAACATGCAATAATATAAATTTTATCCAAATTCTATGCTTTTTTGGGGATGTAAATGAAGCATAAAAAATATAGCAACAAATTGTCATTGTATCAAGTTAGATAGGAGCAGTATAATTCAAATATTGTGCTTTTGTATGAATTCAAAACTGAGGGTGGGAAAATGCAAAAATGGTCATCTCAGTTCTGTGATCTTCCATCAACCTCCGGATTCAATGCATCCTTCTCCACCACTTCCGCCATCTGCAATCTGACCCCACTACCAAGGACATTTTTCCCTCCCCACCCTTATCTGCCTTCTGGAGGGACCGCTTTCTTCGTGACTCCCTCGTCCGCTCCACACTCCCCACCACCCCCAGCACTTTTCCCTGCAACCGCAGGAGGCGCTACACCTGCTCCTACACCTGCCCCCTCACCTCCATCCCAGGCCCCAAGAAAACCTTCCACATTAAACAGATGTTCACCTGTACATCCACTAATATAGTCCATTGTATCCGCTGTTCCCGATGTGGCCTCCTCTACCTCGGTGAAACCAAGCAGAGGCTTGGAGACTGCTTTGTGGAACACCTACACTCGGTTCGTGACAAATGTCAACGCCTCCCAGTCGCGAACCACTTCAACTCCCCCTCCCACTCCTTGGATGACATGTCCATCCTGGTTGATGGGGTGATACGTGAGGACAAGGGGAATCCTGTCTTTGTTGCTATTGCGGGGAGGGGATGTGAGGGCTGAGGTGCGGGAAACACGAGAGATGCAGTCAAGGGCGTTTCGCCTTCACAGTGGTCCTCAATTTCCCCTCCACAGTTGTCCACTATCTGCTCCACTATCCACCTTCTATCATCGCCTCCCCCCTCTCTATTTATTTCAGAGACCCCTTCCCCTCCCCCATTTCTGACGAAGGGTCCAGACTTGAAACGTCAGCTTTCCTGCTCCTCTGATGCTGCCTGGCCTGCTGTGTTCATCCAGCTCCACACCTTGTTATCATTGAGGTGTCACTATCTGTGCAGCTGACAGTGCAGTAGGCAGTCTTGCTAGTGCTTCCTGTAAGGTGTCTGTGCTGTCCTCCTCAGAGATGCGGGAATCATATAATCCATAGAACCCCCACAGCGTGGAAGCAGGTCATTTGATCCATTGAGTCCAAATTGACCCTTCAAAGAGCATCCCACCCAGATCCACTCCCCTACCCTATCCATGTACTCCTGCATTTCCCATGGATCCACCTAGCCTGCACGGCTCTGGATACTGTGGGCAATTTAGCATGGCCAATCCATCTAACCTGCACATTTTTGGACCACAGGCAATCTCTTGACCACAGTCACCACGGACATGCGATTGTTAAAGGCTAGACACAAAAGAGAGAAATTTGTGACCAAGGGATCGGAGTTGTGGCATGTTAAGATGAAATGCAGATTAGGGATAATGGGGAACTAGAACAACAATGGACAGTGCTTCCTTTTTGATTGCTGGGGACATAGAAGTTTCAGTATCTCCACAGAAACAGCCTCACTCTTCAACCACAAGGGTCAAGATCCTTTGCTTATAATGAAGAGAGCACCCCACCACTCATTCTGCACAGTTGTGGGCTGTTCTCTCCTGGAAGAGAGAATGATGGATGGAGTGAGATGATGTGTGTGTGTGTGCACGTGCACGCGCGCGCACGTGTATATGTGTGTGTTAATGACTGATGGAGGTCCAAGGCTGGGGTCACCAGGCTACCCTCAGATTTTTATGTCAGGAATTGTCGCTGTCTTGTTTCTGCCCACTGGGTGGGAGAATGGAAAACTGCATGTCATTGAGATGAGATATCATCATAATGGCAATGTTAGCAAACATTAATATATGCAAAGATTTATGAGAATTTTGTCTTGTCATTCAACACTTGGTTGGAGAATTGGACAGTTTATTGTTGACAAGGAGAAACTCTTCACTGCCAATCTCATATAATCCTCCCAACTTTCTCACGAATTCCCAGTTCAAGGGCTGGGAATATTCTGCCCTACATCTTGTTAAGTAACTGAGAGCTGAGGTCTTGAGCATTAATTAGCTGATCTCTTTGGTATTTGAGGTTTATTTTTTCTCTAAGTGGGAGCACAAAAATTAGATTATAATGAAGGAGAGTCATGCATCATCAGCCTCAACATCTCATCCTAACCTACTTTAGTCCATTGGCAAAATGAATCTAAAAGGCTGAAGATAAATCCGAGTGCAATGGATGACCAAGACCTTGTCAAGATCTGCAGTTTCACAACTCGGTGTTGACCCACCATCAAGACCATTGCATCTTGGATTGGTCTTATCCATCCATTTGGCTCAGACATCAAGTTTGTTTCCATTCCTTCGTGAGATGACAGCATCATTGGCGAGGTTAAAATTCATTCCCCATCCACACTGGGGCTTGAGAAGGTGATGGTGTTCTGCTTTCTTGAACCATTAGGGTGTAGGTAATGTAGGTACATCCTAAATACTGTTACTGAATAACTCCAGTGACAGTGAAGGAACAGTGATACAGTTTTAAGTCACAATGATGTGTTGCTTGGATGGGAACTCCCAGGTTGTGGTGTACCCATGCATCTGATGCCCTTCAACTTCTACCTAGATGGTGGAGGTCATAGGCTCAAGTGCTTCAAAGGAGGTTTGGCAAGTTGTTACAGCACATTTTGTATGTACACACTGTTACCACTGTGTGTTATGTTGGAACTAATGGTTAAGGTAATGGATAGAGTACTGATCAAGCAGTTGCATTGATCTGGATGGCGTCAAGCTTCTTGAGTGTTGTTGGAGCTGCACCCAACCAGGCAAAGAGGGAGTGGACAGGTTTGAGGAGTTGGGAGAGGAATTGCTCCCTATGTAATTCCTAATCTCTGACCTCAGTCATTGGTGAGACTGCATGTGTGTCAGCATTATTTGCAATTCCATCATCAGGCATCTGTAAATTATCAAATGCCCCTCTTTTCCTTACATCTCACAACACCACTTCTTCATGCCAACAAAGTTCCCAGCAGAAGTCTCCTGCTTCTCAATTCTTCAACCACTACCTACCACACTTTCTTTGAAACAGTAGTCAGCAATAATTCAAAGGAAGCTCCACCGAAAGGACTTAACACAATGGTCAGTGAGAGGTCATTTACTCTGGCTATAGAACAGCCTCAGGATTGGAGGGTTGACCATATAGTCAAACACCATTCCTGCCTCACCCAGCTCAGAATCTATTGCACAGTTACCATTTCTTTCATGTGAACCTTTGGTTTAAGAATTCCTTACACATACTATCCTTATACAAGAGCTGTAATTCTAAGTTGATACATTCATTCTTCATCTCAGTCCTGCCATTGATTTTCATTGCAAACAGTAAAGGGACAGTGATGAAAGTGATGTCTATGCGATGGCCCAGACAAGAGAAGCAATATTTTTTGTCAGTTTTAATATCTGCATGCTACACTTCTGTGGAGGAGGATGATAAAGGCATTTAACAGAGGTTCTGGATTGTCCTAATGCCTTGCATCCCAATCTCAGAAATGCCTGATAACATATTTTGCTACCTCCGACTGCTCATAGGTTTCCCTTTTGCTACAGAAATCTGCCATCCATTAAATGATCTGAGTCTGTGATAGAGGGGTTAATTGCCAGAATGCATCCCTGCAGATTTTCTAGATGACTATTTTGAGGAAAGTGACTGTCTGTCTACTGATTCAGAAGTTTTGTCCATTGAACAGCTGCAGCAACCAGGAAGAACTCCGTTCATGAATCTCTGCTGTCAGCTGATCTCAGCTGAGGCTGTAACATAGGATTATTGACTGACGGCCTTACCTTTGGGTCAGGGAGGAAAATGAACCGTTCCTGATGACAGTCCAGCGGCTTTTGCTTGTTTATGGATATTGAGTAAAGACGGAGTCAGATGAAAAGCAATAACTGGCCTGAAAATTTGCTTACACAGATTTAATTATCCAGAATTGAGCCTTAACAAGGACTTAAGTTATTTATTTAGCAGAAAATAAAATTGAATTCAGGGACTCTGAAAATTTATTTGTAACAGTTTCTCTCATTTTGATTAAATGTGTTTTTTTTTAATATCCAAAGCATTTAATCACTTAGCTGAGTACAGACTTATTTTCAAACAACACTGAGCTAGGTATTGAATTGTACAGTATACAGTTTATTTGAAGCTTATTGAATATCACTTCTTCCTTCTATTATTTTACTTTAGTTTTGGGGAAAATACGAAGTGCAATTGGAAGTGCTCAACTCCTAATGTCCCAGAAGTTCCAACAATTCAGCGGACTATGTGAAGAAAACATGGTATGTGAACATTGTATTAATGTGCATTCCATCACGCTTGTTCCCGCCAAATTACTGTAACCATGACAGCATTGATTCATCCAAGCAGTGACTGAACTGAATTGTTTAATCTTCAAATAGTTTTAATTTTACTGGCATACCAAAGCCATCAAAATAAGGATCTAATACAAGCAAAAAAAATGCATATATGTGTATGCCTGTGTGTATTCTTAGAAAATAAAGTAAGTGCAAAACTTACACATTCTTCTCCTGCTGTGCACAGAATCCAAATGCTTGTCCTCGATTAACCTCCCAAGACTTGGCAGGATTTTGGGACATGTTGCAGTTGTCTATTGAAAATGTCAGCATGAAATTTGATGAGCTGCATCAACTGAAGGCAAACAATTGGAAACAGGTGGAACTTCCTGAAAAGAAGGTACCTTGGATATTCCCAATAAATCGACAAAAAATAAATGCACTTCTCTAATCTGCAGTGTTCTCAGATTTCTTTCTGTAATGCCTTGGTGGTTTCACAGATCCATTTTGAGCGACATTTACAGTAGATGCCAGATAATCTGAACAAATTTTGTGCCTAGTGATTCTTAGAAATGCATGGTAACTGTGTGGTCAAAGGAATGTTGCAAGATGGATTTAGAAGGAATGTTTTGGATGTTTTCTATAGTTGAATGGACTGAAATCAGATAGTTCAGTACATATCACGGATCAAATTGAATGTGGGCAAGGGTTAATATTCATTTTCATCACAAAGAGAAATTAATAGAATGAAATTCAGACATATTCTACAATGGCTGCCAATTAGAAGTAAATCTTTAATCACAAAATGTTTCTGTAATTTCTTATTTCCCTGCGTTCACAACACTCATGATGGCCTCTTCCCGTAACTCCCCAGTTGGATTCCTTCCCAGCCCTAATATTCAGTAAATATGAGTAAATAGAATGTTACAGTACCAAAGAGAGGGAGAGAGTGACTTCCGGGAAGACTTCAAGCAATGAAGGGGAAGTATTCAAGCACTTACCCAGGTCAGTGAAGTACACTAATTAATCAGATGGCAACTCTGTTCAAGACATTGTCATTTCTACAGAAAATTGAAAATGCTAAGGGCCCACAACTAGGCCAGAAATGGGAACTCTAGATCTGGCTGTTTTAGAATTACTGGTCTGTGTTAGGGTTGCATGCAATGGAACAAAGGCATCAGGTCAGTACATTTCTGTTGGGCCTATAACTGGTGATATCCTCATGAGACAACGCATAGAGGTAAGTACTGCTGTCCTTACAGACTTAATGAAGCTGCTTGTCATATAATTTAGTCCAATGCAAAATCTGGTCATACTCTGAGGTATTATTGCATTCAAATTTCAACAGCTGCCATGATAGGATTTGATCCCATGTTCCCAGCACATTAGCCTGAGATTATGCATGATCAATCTCGTGACTTTACCATGTTTGGAAAAACAGATAGCCAAGAAACCAAGAGTGAAGATCAACAAAGTAAGCCGACATTTCTAGGTGAAGTCAAATGGGGCCAGCAGAGATTCTGCACTATCATTTTACACAAGAAAGGATTTGACATATTTAAAATTCATACAGGATGTCTGTTTCAATATGGCTGACTGCCTGCTATGGATAAAAACAGTGGATGTTCAACCCACAAGTGTCAAACTGCAAAATTCAGGGGCACAGATCTTCAGGGGTATAGTCACTTTACCAATCTTACCAATCTTATAGTCACTTTACCACTTTACTCAATCACAACGCATGACAGATTATGAGGCTTTCAATGCAGTGAAGGACCAGAACACATCACTATTAACTAGAAATGCATGTATTTGGCAAGATCTCTTACAGAAAATACTACATTACTGTGCAAGAAGAATCTAAACTCATCTGGATTTAAACCCTTGAGGAAGCGAAGTGGAGGACACACCCCCATCTGTATCAATGGGGCTGAGGTGGAGGTGGTCGAGAGCTTCAAGCTCCTGGGAGTAAATATCACCAACAATCTGTCCTGGTCCATCTGCAGCGATGGTACAGTCAAGAAAGCACACCAATGCCTCCACTTCTTCAGAAGGCTAAAGAAATCCAGCACAATGACTCTTACTAATTATTGTCCATGCACCACAGAAATTATCCTAACCAGATGCATCATAGCTGGGTATGGCAACTGCTTTGTCCAAGATTGCAAGAAATCACAGAGAGTTTTGAATGCAGCCCGGTCCATCACACAAGCCAGCCTTCCTTACATTGACTCTGCCTACGCTTCCCACTGCCTCAGGAAAGTAACCAACATAATCAAATACCCCTCCCGAACTCGTTATACTCTCTTCCACCCTCTTCCATTGGGCAGAAGATACAAAAGTTTTAAAACACATACCAATAGATTCCAGAAAAGCTTCTTCCCCACTGTTATCAGACCTCTCATAGAGTAGAATTGATCTTTCTCTGCACTTCTCTGTAGCTATAACACTATATTCTGTGTTCTATTACCCTGATTTACTTATGTAAGGTATGATTTGCCTGGATAGCATGCAAAACAATACTTTTCACTGTGTCTCTGTACATGTGGCAATAATAAATCAAACCAATCAAAATCAAACCATTTAGATTACATTTACCTTTCAGAATTTCAACACTAGAAATCTTTCAGAGATTAACATCAAGGATTCTGGAAGGCAAGCAAGGTATCATTTGTCACGTTTGATGTCAGCCATGGTATTATACAAGGTCAGACCAATGAAGAGTCTGACCACTCTGACATCAAGATGTTTTAAAAATATTACAATGTGCAAGCCTTAAACTCAATACAAAGTGTCAATTCTCAAAGACCAAAATTAAGGGTTAAATTTTATCAGAAATCAGCTAAATGTTAATTTTGGCAAATTTTGTCTGGGTTTCTGTCCATGAGTCCTAGCTAGATTTCTTGTGTTGGCTGTCCAAGATGGCTGAACAGATGAACAAGCAGTGACCTGGAGTGACCAGGTAACTACTCTGATTTTCATGCTGGGAATTCTTTAGCATTTAGTTTCTAGCAGGTGGGTGGAAGAATGGGAAAGTGCACCTTAATGAGTTGAGATTAGGTAGTAATGAGGGTGATACTGAGTGATAATCCAAGCAAATAGGCCTCTTGCTACTCACTAGAAAGAATTTTGACTCATCATCCAACTATTGATTGAAAAATTGGACTTGCTGCTATCAACACTGAGAAAGTCCTCACTAGGCATCTCACCTAATTTTCCCAAATTTCTCACCATGGCCCATGTGATTCAGGGACTGGGAGAATTCCACTCTATATTTTTGAGACACATAATAGAGAAGCAAAGTACCACTGTGGATCCCAGAAAGACAAGGGTCAAACAAGTGAATTTCCACAGCCAACGACTTACTGTGCTATGAGGAATTGGGACCCAAGTGGGAAAATTCATTCCTAACCTGACCAGTCGCACTCCACTTATAAGACTGTATGAGGTAAGGCCAACAATGATACTGGATTCAGAAACAGACTACAGCTGTTCAAAAGATTAAGGAAATGTTACTCTTTTTAAAATGTGTTAGCTCATTCTGACTCAGGCTTATTTATTTACCACAGTAGCCACAGATGCATCCTCCGAGGGATTATGTGCAGTTCTCATGCAGGTGCAGAATGATGGAACCAAGTAGTCCATTTGCTTCAAAAGCATCAATATGCTACAATTGAAAAAGAAGCATTGTTTGTTACAGGGGAATGCAAAATGTTTGCACCTCATTTCATGGGATTGAGATTGCAGGTCAAAACAGTCACGAGTCACATTACTAGAATCAAAGGAGATTCCAAAACTGCTATTGCAAATGCAGAGATTCAGGTACAGACTAACGAGATATGGCAAAGTGATAGTTCATTCCCAGGCAGGCACAGATGATGGGTAATACAGTTTCCAGGCAACAGTGGATCAGGCTGAAAAAAGACGTAATTGTTAATTAATAGGTAGAATCATATTCTACTGCAGAGACCAGTGCACTTCCTCAGAGAAATTGTGGAGCTCAGAAGTCAAGCGAGCACACAAAAACGATTGAAGTCTTTCTGGAAGTGAGAGTTCATACACTGTCCAGCAGATCAGGTTTTGAATAGAAGCAACACTGAACAGTTGCGGAAGACCTATTGGTATACAGCCACGGATTGGTCGCCACTGAAGTCTATGAGGCAAGAAATCTTAAAATGGGAATCACAAAGTGCAGGGCTAGATCTCCACCCTCTACATGGTGGCCTGATATTTTAGAAGAAACTGAAGATTTTATCTCAGCGTGTCTCACATGTGCTATCAACAGTCAGGTGCCAGCTGGACTATTAATGCCTTAAAAATGTCCAACGTGATTGTGAGAGAAGGTGGCACAAATTTATCATACTATACTATACTATGCTATACGAACTATACTAATAGATTGTTACTCAAGATGGATTGAGACTTCAAGACTTCATACTTCAGAGGCAATGATTGGAGCACTGAAATTCTGGATAACAAACCTCAATTTGTGAATGTGGAATTCAGTAAGTTCACTACAGAGACATTTATCTACCAGTTCTCCAATTCATCCTTAGGGAAATAGAGAAGCAGTGAAGGTGATCAAAACCATAAAGTCACTAATGCCCAAGATTGCAGACTTGTAGTTAGCAATGCTCAGTGTAGATCAGCATAATTAACAATGCATACTCACTGGCTCATGGGAAGAAGATTAAAAACAGAGATCCCATTGTTGTTATGCAATGTGAGGCCGAAAATAATGTCTCAGGACAACAGGATGATCAAGAAGAGAGACAAAAGACCACAGAAGGAAGCAACAGAAGTGGTATAGCTGAAGGCATGAAGCAAAAACACTGTCAACTTTGTGTAAAAGTCTGGAGGAGGGGCAGACAAGCAGAGACAACAGTCCTCCAAGCAACAGATCAACTAAGATCCTACATAATTTGACATCTGATGGAACGTTCAGGAGAAACAGAAAGGTGTTGATCTGACTCAAGCCAAGGTGAGAATGAGTCTGGTAACCATAGTATGTGAATAGAGATAGCCAGACTCCATCAAGTACCATACAGGATTGTACAAAAGATAAGGGAATGGGATAGAATCATTACCCTGTGTGAAAATCAAACAAACCATATCAGGGCATCTATTCGGCATTCTAGACTATCTTGACCTAATGGGTTTGAACATGGAGATGTGGAAGATAATAATAATGATATTAATGGCAGTGCAAGTAAGTTCAAAAAACAAATTGCAAGAATCCTGTAAACTGAGCCCCAGACAGACAGGCAGAGAGCTGGAATAAACGGGCTCTTTTCAGAGTGGCAGGCCGTGACGAGTGGGGTACCACAGGGTTCACTGCTGGGATCCCAGCTGTTCGCAATATAAATTAATGATTTGGATGAAGGAATCGAATGCAATATC